GGATTTGAGCCGTAAATATTCTGACTCCAGAGATTATGAAGAGCCAAATAAGAGTCTCAGATTTTTACCCAGAAAACAGCCAGAAACCATGAAGAGGTTTATTTTAGGAACTTCATATAGTCAGATGAGGCATTTTTTGAAGCCTCCGATCTATATTTATGTGACTATGTTCACCTGAAGAGGTGACCCAGAAGCAGTGAAGGCAGCCCAGACAAGGAATATTATATTCACTGCTTCTGGGCAGCCTTCTCTGGTCAACATAGTTAGATGAGATAGGAATTGGATGACCGGGAGCAGTGGCTCACACCTGTAATCCCAGCACTTTGGGAGGCCGAGGTGGGCAGATCACTTGAAGTCAGGAGTTCGAGACCAGCCTGGCCAACATGGCAAAACCCTGTCTCTACTAAAAACACGAAAATTAGCCAGGTGTGGTAGCTGGTGTCTGTAGTCCCAGCTACTCAAGAGGCTGAGGCAGGAGAATCGCCTGAGCCTAGGAGGCAGAGGTTGCCGTATGCAGAGATCACACCACTGCACTCCAGCCTGGGCTGCAGAGTGAGACTCCGACTCAAAAAAAGAAAAGAAGAAAAGACTTGGAGGAGTCTTGATGGATTGGGACCAGGACCTCATTTGGGCTGCTCATTCTGGGAGATTTACCTCTTTATTTCCAAAAACACTAAAGTCTAGCACCCCAAATAAGTGCTTTCTCTCATTAGCTCCCAAATTGCCGACTGACAGTCTTGTGACTTCCACTCAGGTTGTTGGAAACATTCTGCCAGGATCATGGTGCCGAGGGCTGAAGAGTGGGCAAATGGGTGGAGCTCTCTCTCATTGCCTTACAGCCAAGGTGCAGGGCCTGCGCTCCTGCTGTTGAGGCCGCCTGGTGGATTCAGATCCAACTTTATGTTCTAGTTTTCCCTCAGGTGTGTGAGTCCCGACAGGCTTCCCAAATTCTTTTTTTGTGAGTTAACTAGAACGGGTTTCTTTGCTTGCAACTGAAGAATTCAAACAAATGTTCTGAGATATTTGTTTAAGACTTTACACAATTGGCCCAGCATGGTGGCTTGCACCTGTAATCCCAGCACTTTGGGAGGCTGAGGCGGGCAGATCACTTGAGCTCAGGAGTCTGAGACCAGCCTGGCCAACATGACGAAACCCCATGTCTACTCAAAATACAAAAACTACCTGGGCATGGTGGCAGGTGCCTGTGATCCCAGCTACTCGGGAGGCTGAGGCAGGAGAACCACTTGAACCCGGGAGGCAGAGGTTGCAGTGAGCTGAGATTAGCCACTGCACTCTAGCCAGGATGACAGAGTGAGACTGCCTCAAAATAAAATAAAATAAAATAAAATAATAAATAAATAAATAAATATATAAAACAATGGATGAATTCATATTTTTTCACAAATGACTTAGTGATTCATCTATATTTCTGTTTTCTCTGCTTTAAACAGAAAATTATTCTTAATATCAACTCCAACATTCAGCTGGCGAAATGGGACTTATTTTCCTTTCCAATGGCCCCACCAGTGGTTCCAAAATTCCTATCTAGGTGAAATAAACGAAAAAGGATTTGTCAAAGTATATTTAAATTTAATTTCCTGCACCAGAATAGAAAGTAAAAATCTAAAAAGTCTGTATCATTTTGCGAAGAGATACACCATTAACTTGGACAAATAATAACAAGGTAACTATCCATTCCCTGCAATATATTTTTTAAAACTATCCTGATATTCTGATGCCAGTGTAGTGTGAAACAGGAGGGAAAGCATCCCTGTATTCTGTTTTTGATATTCTAAAGCAGACTGTATTCTAAATTTCAAGTATACGAGATGATGATTCACTTTTACAAATAAAACCATTTGTGTTAGTATAACATTCTGCCAAGACACTTTTGAATATTTAGCCCATTTTGGTTGCAAGGGTGACAAGGTGGGTCTCACGAACAGGAGTTCATCTCTTTCTGACTCTTGCGTGTGAATCACACAGCCAATTTTTGTAATAACGGGTAGAGCAATGGAAACAAAGACAAAGACACAGTAATTCCTTGAAATATCCTATATTTGCCTAGTGCTTTACATAGTGATTTCAAAATTCTGGCTAACTTGATACTCACTGAATAATTCTGTGGGTAGAGTAAGATAAATGTTATTATTATTCTCCGTATAATACACTTGAGGGAGCTCAGATTCAAAGATATTAAGTAATAAGAATAATAATATCTAAGATTCATTGAACTTTCTACTAGGTATCTGGAATTAATTTCTTACAAAGGTATTTTCAGTAACTTTGTATTTCCATTATCCTCATTTAACAGATGGAGAAATTGAATCTGTAGAAACTTGAACACCTCGCCCAAAGTCCCATAGCTAATGAGTCACAGGGCCAGGATTAAAATGTGGCTTTCTTCTCACTCCAAATTCAGGGCTCGAAACACTTTTGCTCTCCTGCCCAAGATGACACAAACAGAAAGCAGCAGATCCCAGCAAGGGCTCCAACACAGACATTTCCACCCATATTTACCTCTCTGAAATTGGGGCGCAACTTGCAATCACTATCTCCTACCCTAGCTGGCCTGCCTGTACATGCAGTCATTGGTTGCTATTCTGGTGCAAGACTAAACCACCTGCATACTTCAATGCTCAGGCCAATAGACCACTTGAGAACCATTTCAGGAAGGAATAAGAATATTGGTTGTTGCCTGAAAAACCTTCCACTGACACTTTCTGGAAGACAAAGAAGAGATGGCTAGGTGTGGTGGCTCCCCCCTGTAATTTCAGGACTTTGGGAGGCTGAGGTGGGAGGATCATTTGAGACCAGGAGTTCAAGACCAGCTTGGGCAACACAGTGAGACCCCATTTCTACAAAAAAAAAAATAAAAATTAGGGTGGGCATGGTGGCTCATGCCTGTAATCTCAGAACTTTGGGAGTCCAAGGCGGGTGGATCATTTGAGGCCAGGAGTTCGAGACCAGCCTGGCCAACATGGTGAAACCCTGTCTCTACTAAAATACAAAAATTAGCTGGGTGTGGTGGCGCACACCTGTACTGCCAGTTACTCAGGAGAATGAGGCAGGAGAATTGCTTGAACCCAGGAGGCGGAGGTTGCAGTGAGCCAAGATCACACCAGTGCACTCCAGCCTGGGCGACAGAGTGAGATCCTGTCTCAAAAATACATAAATAAATACATTAATTAAATAAAGTAAAAAATAAAATTTAAAGTAAAAAAATAAAAAAAAATAGCTGGGCACAATTGCACACACCTGTGGTCTCAGCTACTTGGGAGGCTGAGGTGGGAGGATGACTTGACCCTAGGAGGCCAAGGCTGCAGTGATCCATAACTGTGCCACTGCCCTCCAGCCTGGGCAACAGAGTGAGACCCTGCCCCCCACCCCACAGGAAAAAAAGAGGCCAAAATCAAAACTTGTAAGATAAGTGCCAGTGTTCAATGATAATAACATTGCCATCTTCTAGGAAACTCTGTCTTACCATGCTCTTGATAACATATTTGGTGGGAAAACGAGGACGTCAAAGAGTCTGGGTTGCAAAATCGTTCTGAAGAATTCAATTCTGAACAAGAGGAAACATTTGGAAATCTTTCATTTATATCTCTCATGTTTCCCTTTTTAATGATTATGCAAGAATGAAATATGACAGAATTGTTTAAATATGTTCTAAACAAAGCTCTTTCAATAAGGCTAAGATAAAAATTCTGAATAATACAAAAGCACTGTGTTGGTTTAATTGGCAGTGGTTTGGGGGCTTTTATCCCCCTTGTTTTATGATGGTGCATGATATAATGATTGATTTATGTTGATGCATCTTTGATGTGATGAAAAACAGAAGCATTCCAATGAGTCAGTTCTCTCTCCGTGGTACAAAGGCATTTGGTCTTACTTTTATATTGTATTTTCCTCACTTTAGAAAAAAGCTGGGGCTCAGAATATACGATCTAGATTAGCAGTTAAACAAATGGCTCTTTAAAATATTACCAACCAATGAACAAGGGATCTTGGACATTCAGATGCAGCTTGGGATTACTTAGAGCTTTTTAACTGATTAGCTAGGGCCAGGTTTCAGCAGACCACTGAATCTGGCAAACATGAGCATGTAGAGACGCTTTCGTGGGTCCCAAAGAAGTCTTGTAGACTTGGAGTCGCAGTTAACTTTAGATCCTAAAAAGCGGGAAGCATGGCCACACTCTCGAGATTGACCGATGCATTTTAAAGTTATGCAGGTGTTCCACAACAGGTAAGTAGTTTCAAAACCTTCTATGCAGCATTCAGGGTGTTCCAAGTTCTTTGCTTGATGCTGGATAGAGAAAGACAGATTAAATAGCAGTTCAAACAGAGAAACAGGCACTGAAAATAAATAGTGATATAGTGTGCATCTATGATGCTAAGATGAAGGAATGCCAAGAGCTCATTGGGAAGGACTTCCAAGGCCCAAAATATGTGTTAAATCCTGATTTATGAGGAAACAAAGGGAAATTATTGTTTTAACCAGAAAAAAAAAATTATTTCAGTAAGTTCTCCAGCATTCTTTTTTTTTTTTTTGAGACGGAGTCTCGCTCTGTTGCCCAGGCTGGAGTGCGGTGGCGCCATCTCGGTTCACTGCAAGCTCCACCTCCCGGGTTCCCGCCATTCTCCTGCCTCAGCCTCCCGAGTAGCTGGGATTACAGGCACCTGCCACCACGCCCGGCTAATTCTTTGTATTTTAAGTAGAGACAGGTTTCACCGTGTTAGCCAGGATGGTCTCGATCTCCTGACCTCGTGATCCACCCGCCTCTGCCTCCCAAAATGCTGGTATAACAGGCGTGAGTCACCGTGGCTGGCCTCCTACATTCTTTAGCTGACTGAGTTGAACGTTAAATTTGCCTAGTGAAGATTTTTGCTTTCGTGAGAGTGATGTCCACTTGGAAGTGTGTATGTATTTTAAAGAAGCTGGCTGCCCTATGTGAAATATAAGACCTTAAAAAATCTATTTCAGGTGGCTGAGTTTTTCTTCCAGTTAATCGGAGATGGCCCGCACCAAGCAGACTGCACGCAAGTCCACCGGTGGCAAAGCACCGCGCAGGCAGCTGGCCACTAAGGCGGCTCGGAAAAGCGCGCCGGCCACCGGCGGCGTGAAGAAGCCTCACCGCTACCGTCCCGGCACCGTGGCTCTGCGCGAGATTCGCCGCTACCAGAAGTCGACTGAGCTGCTGATCCGAAAGTTGCCTTTCCAGCGCCTGGTGCGAGAAATCGCTCAGGACTTCAAGACGGATCTTCGCTTTCAGAGTTCCGCGGTGATGGGCCTGTAGGAGGCCTGCGAAGCCTATTTGGTGGGGTTCTTTGAGGACACCAACCTGTGTGCCATCCATGCTAAGCGAGTGACTATCATGCCCAAGGACATTCAGCTCGCTCGCCGCATTCGTGGGGAGAGAGCGTAGAGGTTTCTGGGTAATAATTCTCTCCAACCCAAAGGCTCTTTTAAGAGCCGCCTACTTTCACCCGAAAATAGCTGTGATTGACTAATCGAATCTTTGAAACTGAATGTTGGTTGTAGTACTTAAGTCCTCATTTGATTGGCTAAAGTTAATGGTAAGCTTGCTATATTCCCGTGCTTTCTCCCGAACGTGCCAGATTGTCAACGTCTCTTTTTTTTAAACTTAAATTTAAATTTTTAGTTTTTTGTTGGCTATTAGGGGTTTGGTGCTTCGATTTGGTAGTGGAAGGGGCCATCTGGGTTCATGTTATACATGGTTTGTCTCAAGCGTGAGTTGCGTTGTCTACTTATTATAGAAGGGTTTTTTTCCGTAGTGTATTTGTAGTTAATCCCTTTTAAAACCTTACAGTTGATGAGCATTGGCAGTTGAGAATAGGTACAGATGTCCTTGGTTGCTGCTTTTTCTTGTCTGAAGTAAGCTATTTCTACAATCCACCGCCCCACTTTTTTTTTTTTTTTTAAACAGTTCTTGGTCTTTTCTGTGAAATGATCCATTTTTGACCGATAGTTGATTCAATATCAGAAATTGGTGGCAGAAACCAAAGCCAGATTGGCTTCTACATTACTGGCAGCGTGGGCATTACCTGGGAACTTGTTAGAAGCTTGTTTCAATCCCCATCTAGGGCTGGAGTCAATCTGTATATACCTCAGATGATTGTCATGAACACTGATTTAGGAAGCCTAGGTTGTTGGTTTTGGTCTAATCAATAAAGGCATCCTGCCTGTGAACTGTTACAAGGAGTGAGCTTTTGCAAAATGTATGTTTATTTTACAGAATGAAATAGGCTATGAAATGTTCTCTAAAGCAAGTGCACAGAACAATCCCCTAAAATAGTTTGATTTCTTTACAGATCAGTTTTCTCAATGTAACATTGCAGTCACATGGGAAGGCTTTAGAAAAATCTTTACCTGGTGTTCAATGAGACTAATAGCAGTCTGTAGAGTGGGCCCAGGGAATGGTAATTATTAATATTCAGGTGCTTCTAACAAACAGCTGGGGCTGAGACTCCTTGCCACATAAATTTTAACACTCTCATTAGCTCTGGTTTGACTCCAGACTTAGCACAGTTTTCTAATTGAATCTGTTTCCTTGTAGTTTGCCCTCAGAATATACTGGTCTCTAAAGACTTTCTGGCTTGCTTGACTATCTTTCAACACCTGGCTTTTATAAGAATTTCTTAGGGCAACACTAATGTAAGGTTTGTTTTTTTTTTTTTTTTTTTGAGACACCAAGGTCCTTTCAGTGAAAGTATCAAGTTTTTAGGGATGTTACAAGGAGGAACACATACCATCCTGGGCTGCTTGGCATACAACCAAGGTATCTGTTTGCATATAGAACCCTTCCTTTACAGATTAGCATAAGGCCCTGTTTGGGTATTCAGCAGATCCTCCTTTATGACCTTTATTAATTTAGCAACTTGTCATTTTTTTTCACATATTGTTTTTATTTTAAAAACTTATTTGACATTCCAGAATATATGGGAAAGGAGATAATAGTTTAATAAAACCTATGTTCCTCTCATCCAGCTTCAATAAAAACATTGGCTAAAAAAAAAAAAAAAAAAAAAATCTATTTCATATAACCTTGGAAATTAACCAGTCTATAATCTTAAACATCTATTGGATAACAAACGAGCGTACCATTTCTTTGAAATGTTAAATTGAGGCCAATTCATTAACTCTTCCCCAGACATCACCACAAACTCAGTCTTGTAAATGTGAAGTGGCTATTAATGTCTGTGAAGTCAAATGCCTAGATAATGCTTGCTTCCCTATTTGAAGCTGTGTTTTAAATTCTGGGACTCCCATGAAGACCACATACTATTAAAAAAGTGATAATTCTCCAATCCGGATCTATTCACTAGGATCTTACTCTTGGAATGCTTCTTGATTTACTGTATCTTATATGTTTCTCTTTCTCTTTCAATTTTAATTTTTATGAATTAAAAATTGTGATCTGTATTTTCTATATATATATTATTTAATTATTTATAAGGCCTCTAATGAAACTCTTTTAGATCATATATGTACGCTTGGGTTGCCTTCTATTTAATTTAGTAGTTATTCATACAATAACCATGTATTAAGCATATACCATGGGCAGGGACAGTGTTCAGTGCTATATAAGGAGACTTGTCTTGAGTAAGGTGAGGAACATGGGCTTTGGAGTCAGCCATACATTAATTTGAACCCTAACTTCTACCACTTGCTAGCTGTAAGGCTAGATTTACCAAGTAGCTAATAAAGCAAATATTTTCTCCCACTCTGACTTAACTTTTTATTCTTTTAACAATGTCTTTGAAAGAGCAGAAGTTTTTAATTTTGATGAAATGTAATTAACTAATTTGCCTGTTTGTGGATCTTGTTTTGGTGTCATATGTAAGGAATCCTTGCCTAACACAAGGTCATAAACATTTTCTTCTTCATTTAGTTCTAGATGTCCTATTGTGTTAGTTTTATGTTTAGGTCTATGAACACTTTTGAGTTAATTTTTGTGTTTGAAGTTTCAGGTTTTTTTTCCTCATGGATATCAAATTGTTATAGCATCTTTTGCTGAAAAGACAATACTTTCTTCATTGAATTATCATTGTGTCTTTGTTAAAAATCAGTTGTCAATGTATGTGAGTCTATTTTTTCCAACCCATGAACAAGGTATATCTCACCATTAAATTAGATCTTCCTGAATTTCTCTGTCATATTTGAAGCTTTCACTGTACAGATCTTTCACATATTTTGTTAAATTTATTCTTATTTCATCTCTTTTATGCTATTATAAATACTATTGATTTTAACATTCTAGTTTCTGATTACTGCTACTATAAAGAAATATAATTAATTTTAGTACAACTTTTTTTGAGATATAATTCACATATCATATTGTTTATCTTTTAAAGTATGACGAAGATCTAACACTTGTGAAACTTATCAAAATTATTTTTTTTTCAAAACTCTGGAAATTAACCAAAGTCTTGCAACAATGGAAGGGCTTTTCCTTGAGAAGAGGCTCTGCCCAGAGGAGTTTATCACAGGTAGACAGAAGGCATAGGAATCCTGGTCCTTGCCTTGGAGCCAACGTAATATCTGCCGACAGTTTTAGTCTTTGTTTACCTTGATGCTCTTTTTCCCAGAGAATGAGGAGAAACTAAAGAGATCTGTCAGAAGCTGAAATTTCAATGATCCACATTTTGGACCAATTGAACCTACGTAAAAGCTACTGGTACCAATAAGTGAGTGTTGCAAGCTTTTAAACCTGAACTTCAATCCATACACAACAATTAACTTAAAACAAGTCATAGACCTAAATATGCAACTTCTAAATATACAACCAACACAATAACACTTCTAGAACTAAACATAGCAAAAATTCTGTGACCTTGGGTTATGCAAAGATTTCTTAGGTTTGACAGACATGTCAGTTTAGCTATTGGTAGAATAGACAACTTGGAGTGTGCAATGAAGACCCAGGTTTTTTATAGACATGCTACCGTGTAAGTCCCATTTGGACTTTGAGTTTGGACTTACAATATCCTACTCTAGCCTAGGACTTTAGTCATTTTCTACATTCTATCATTTCTCTGAAATTCCTGATTACAGAGAGTTTATAGGAGCTTTTCCTTGCTAATTTGTTGGCCGCTAATCCTTTTTTTTTTTTTTTTTTGAGACAGAGTCTCATTCTGTCACCCAGGCTGGAGTACAGTGGCACAATCTTGGCTCACTGCAACCTCTGCCTCCTGGTTTCGAGCGATTCTCATGCCTCAGCCTCGAAGTAGTTGGGATTACAGGTGCCAGCCACCACATCTGGCTAATTTTTGTATTTTTAATAGAGACAGGGTTTTGCTATGGCTGGTCTTGAACTCCTGGCCTCAGGTGATCTGTCCCCCTCAGCCTCCCAAAGTGTTGGGATTACAGACGTGAGCCATTGCGCCCAGCCCGTTAGCTGTTAATTCTTAATAGGCAGTATTTGCTTTCTCTTGGCGTATATATAATATAATCCTTGCATTTATGTATTTTTTTACCCCCCCAGAACTCTGGAGGTGAGAACAAATGAGTCTTGTGATGAGATTATTGTGGGAACTTTCCTAAGCTAAAGATAAAAAATCCAGTTATTACTATTTTCCTGTGTCAGTGGTGCAATTTTTAATCCTACAATGACAACAAGAATGTTAGAAAGTCACATGGAAAAGTTTTGAATGTGTAATACCCTCATGTGTGGTCACAGGAGAACACTTTAGAACCCGCAGTTAAAGACAGAATTTTGACTTTATCATAGGGCCTTTCCAGTTCTACTTTCTTCACTTCAAAGCCTCAGAAGAACTGATGCAATGAGAGCTGCCAGTGAGCCCAAGTTAAAGGTAAGTTTTTCTAAGGGTCAGGTGCGCTGGCTCACAGGTGTAATCCCAGCACTTTTGATAATGTCAGGAGGCAGTGAAATGCCTAGGCAGATAGGGGCAGGTCCTGGCTGAAGCCCCACCTTCAAGCCAAAAACAGTTTAAAGCCTGAAAGCCAAGTTACAAGTCAAACCCACAGACCGGATTAAGAACCTGTCTTCCTGTTTGGCACGCCTTCCTCTGATTGATCCCCACCCTTCACCTATTTTACATATATCTACCCCTCCCTGATGAGTGGCTTTTTACATTGTCATGCCCACGTTGAGTGATGCCTTTGTTTTAACCTTTTTTGTATACTCACAAACCAGTGAGCACACACTTCTCATTCTGAGCCCGTAAAAGCCCCAGACCTAGCCACACGGACAGACAAACCACCTGACTTCAGGTGGGTGGCCACCCTCACATCCCCTCTCTGCTGAGAGCTGTTTTGTCGCTTAATAAAATTCTTCTTTGCCTCTTTACCCTTCAATTGTTAGCATATCCTCATTCTTCTTAGACATGGGACAAAAGCTTGGGAGCCACTGAGTGTGGATACAGAGAAAGCTGTAACACCTTGGCACTCCGCCCTCTGCCGAGCTGCCCCATGTGAGGAAGCAGTGGCAGGGCCA